TTTTCTTACAAGAATTTCTAACAAGTAAACTTTTCATTTTACACTTTAAAGAGAGAAAAAAAATTCCCCTTATTTTTTTTATATGGCACTTATTTAACAGTTTTCTTTTTAATTTTTCCTATACTAATTTCTTACTAAACAAAAAAAATTAACAACTTAACAAAGTTTCATTACAAAACTTCTCAACTTTTCATGTTGTACTTATCAATTTTCTCATACAATATTTTTTCAATAAAAACCCTTTCCAAGGAAGAAAAGGACGGAAAAGAAAAATGTAAAATAAAATAGAAAAGCTAGCCAGTGAATATAGACTCACGTATATATGGAGGACTATAAGATGTTGCTGAGCCAATATCTCCATAGACGAAGCAGGCTTCTTTGCTTATTAGAGCTATCGTCAAAATTACCCAGATGAAGTGTGCCATCACATGCATGCCTTGGCTTGTACAGATTTAAAGGTTGAAAGGTTCATTTATGGTAATGTCTTTTACTTGCTGACCTGGATGGGAGGTTTGTAGATACGTGCAAGACTAGTTGAAAGCCTGGTTTCTTATATTATGTTATCAAGAAAAAAAAAATTTGTAGTAGGAGCTGGGAATCATGCATATGTTTTGTTAGCTTAAAGCAGTTTTATATATCATAAAACTTGGAAGAATAAGTTAACGTGTCTTTGCTTAAGTTTTCAAATTGAAGGAGAGTGGGAGGCTGGTCGTTTAGATAGACCAGAAAGGTAAGTTAGTGGGGAAGAATGGATGATAGTGCCTCAAGCATCTTCGCTTGTCATTTTATATTTGCTTGGAAGGAAAAGAAGGATGCACATTGTGGAAAGCATTCTCAATATACATTATCATACATATTGTTGCTTTTGGATTTTGAGAAATGATCAGTTTCTAGAAGCAACTTTAGAAGTTGGTGCTCCAAACTTTTACCTGCTCTTCACAAAGAGGAAAAGAAGAATATTGACCTAGAAATAGGGAATTGTCCATCGAATTTTTTGAGCTATCTGGCAATATAATGTAGTTTTCGAAATGTGAAAGGGCTGCCTTTTTTGGTAGGCGCTCGTACGAGGACCGGATGCTTCAAGAATAGGCTACGATTGCTTTTCAAGCAAAGCCAGTATATGTTCTCTGATTTACCAAATCTCTCAAGAATTGAAACATGATACTTTTGAGTTTTATCTCTCCTTGTTGATCTAGAAGATTGAATCAATGACTTTTAAGTTATAACTTAGACTTAATTACCTAGTGCTTAATTAGTTTTAAATATGAGAGTTTTAACTTAAAAGTGTGAAATACTAAAATGATTAAATTATCTTCTACGGCAGCATATGACTTTCTAATTTCAGATATTTAATTTTAGTTCTCTTTTTTTTTTAATTTTATTTTTATTTTAAAAAGATAATTACAACATATTTTATTAAATAAAAAGACTTATTTAATGTGTTGTAAAATAACTGAACAAATTATTGATAGTCAAGGTTCAAGCCCCATTCCCCCTCTTTACCCCATGATGTTGAATGGAGGGAGTACTAGCTTTGGGTGGCTTCCCTTCGTAGATACATATTCTTCATAGCAAAACATTTTTCCCTACATAGGGTGGCATTTTTTTATCGTTGAGTTTGGTGTTCTGTAACAATATCTTTAGGTTGAGGAGAATGGAGAGGAGTAAATTCTTCCCCTCCTCTTTCCTCCCCTCCAGCCTTTTTAATAACTAAATAAAAAAATTTCTTTCCTCTCTCCTTTCTCCTCAACCCAACCATTCTCTGTTGGATTCAATTTTTCATTTTCACTCAATTGGGTACATTTGGATTGGGCCAAGTTGAGCTGCTGAACTTGGGCCTATCTTTACCGTTTCTTTTTTTTTCCAGGGAGAAAGAATGTGGCCTTCCAAAGTCGGAGGACAAGATTGTATCCAGTTTAGATTACAATTCCAACAGAAATGTATTCATTTCAACAGGAAACTTAATGGCATAACCTAAGGAGAAATGTGTTAAATATATAAATGCAGAATAATTTCTTTGTTAAGAAATATTGGTATCTGTCAGCTTCATTAATTGCCAGTTAGTAGTCAAGAGAAGTGAGGTCCTCCTGCACCCAGGGAATAATCTCCGTGCTTCGCTTGATTGATAAAAAAAGAAAAAAAGAAAAAAATGCAGAACATACCCTCAGAAGGAATCTATAGCAGAGTTGGGTGGAATTTTCTCCTTGATGAACCTGTCATTTAGTGTGAGGCATGGAGTGGGGTGCACAAGGCCTGAACTTGAACCATAAGCTTCCCAACAGAAGGATTTTGTTATCCCCCTGTATGAGACAAGATCAATGTCTTCCAAGTATAAATCTTCACAGGGTGAGGTGTCACTACAAGCAAATCTCATTGCCTCTTCTGTAGCTGAACTTCCCTTGATATGCACAAAGGATACATTTTCAACTTTAACAGCCGTACTCTGCAGTCCATCAGTAATAGATGATGAGTTCTTTTGAGAATGGTATAGTAGCAGAAAAGGATAACAGGCAATAATTTCTTTACTCTAGTTGTTTAGATCTGTACTCAGCACAGATGCTCCATTCCATGCCGATGAATAAAAACTGTGGTGTAGTGGCAAACTTATCATGCTAGAAGAGGATCAAAACTGTGGCTAAGCTAAGACTCAAACCTGGTTAGCACACGGAAACCATGCATCACAGTAATATTGATCTATAATGATTGGATTTGATACATTTTCCATCAACACATTTTGAAACTTGATATTTGCAGCATAACCACCACCTCCCTGATCAAGAAATATGAGAAACCAGTTCAATCAAAATATAGTATGATGGTGCAAAGAGAAGTGGAATCCACATTCACAAATCACAACCTTATTTTCCATGCATAAATGAACAAGCACAAGCTACTCATGCATAGACACAAATACAATGGGACTTGGCTCTACCTGCCATGTTTTGATGCGAACTCCATTCTCAGTGTTGGAGAGTAATGCTCCATCAATCATGACATTATGCACCTGTGCCCATGACTTCGATTTTCCCAAGCTTCCAATGCTAGTGGATGCAGAATAAGATCAGTGAAGGCACTCAATTTACCCCTAATCTTGACGAGCATAAAGACTGATTTACCTTATACCGTGGCCTGGCCCACAGGAAATGCTTGTTATTCGAATCCGTGAAGAATTGTTGACTATAGAGATGCAGTCATCTCCTGGAAGCATATTTGAGTATGCAATCAAAACAACAATAATACAACTTGCTCTAAAGAATGAGGAACAGCCTCATTTTTCACTTCATTGCCAACAGATGGAGGAAGGAAATAAACAGCATCCTAAAAGTATCATTATTCAGTAACCAAAAGAAAATTTTCTGTCCTCCACCTTGTCAGTGCCTAAATGACAATATATTTGCCTTTGGGTTTAACTCATCATAGCAATATTACACATCACTCTATGCAAACATGCCAAAGCATGATGACTTAAAAATTACTTTGGGGCATAAATCATAGCTAAAACTTGAATGGAATCAAACTAATGGTAAAACCATAGTCTATAATCCTTCCACTTTATAGAATTATGTTGTCTACCTTAAAATCATTGAATACCAATGCCAGAATGACGTTTATCTCAACTTGTTGCTTGATCTCAATAATATATGAGTAATACTTTATAAATAACAGACAAAGTCCTAGAGAAATTGATACCTATAGTAAAATCATATAGTTGAAGTTTTAACAATTTAAACAAGACAGAAATAATAAAAGAATTATTTTTAGTCAAAGAGCTTCTTTTCTAATTCCTTTGATTTTTTAATAAACAGATACTATGAAGACAAATATTACAAGCAAAATAGATATATAGTATTGAGCTTAAAGGCTTATTCCATTGTCACATTGCATGCAATAGCACTTCATCAAGATAGAATTTGGTTGTTAAGATAATATTATTTAAACAGAAACTTTTATGTTAAATAGCATAACACCACGTTGAAAAGAACACCAAATTGAGGCTGGCCTTGATCTTCAGTTCACCTCAATGATAAACAGTTGATATAATTGAAATATATGAAGTGAAACTAAAAAGGTTTTTATATGTCAACTATATAGACAAGCTAAATTATATCATGACATGATGACCATTTTTAATTTAATGCTTCAATGGGTTAAGACCAACCCAAACAAAGCAGTGAGGGGATTAATTACATTATACAACACAATTCAAGATCAAAGATCATGAAGGCTTATACTTATCTTTTCAACACAACCTTGTTGACCACTCTAACACTGGATTAATGGACACATTTGAGTTCTTTTCAAATATTGTCATCAGCTACTGTTAACTGGTTTTTGTTATAGACAAATAAATAGAACATATTCAATTCTGCCTTTATCTAAAAAAGTTAAGAAAGCCAAGAACACTAATAATTGTCTGATTATTCATTAATGAAAGACTCTAGACAAGCATAAGAAATGGAAAATTGATTTTAAATTTTGCAATGTTAGCAGAAATATTATACAGCAAAAAGGATTGCAGAACTAACCCGTTCTGACAAGGCTATTCTTCACCTCAACACCACGGGATGCACTGATATGAATTCCATCAGTATTAGGGCTAGTAGCAGGTGCTATCACCTTGAGATTGGTTGTTATAACCCGAAGGCATTTAGTAAATGCAATGTGCATTTGTTGGCTATTTATTATCATAAGATTGTAAATCTTCAAAACTTTGCACCTATGGAAAGTCAGAGCCTGCATTTAAGTAGTTAAATGATATTACTATTAAGCCATATTTGTTAATGATGATGTAACAGGGTATTAGAGTACTGATGTATGGTTGTATCAGAGGGAGGAATGGACAAAAGGAAAAACCAGAAAAATGCAAGTAACTGATTTTCTTGAATAAGAAAGCAGCACCCACCGTTGGAGCATGCTTACATGGCTGCCATAAAAAAAATAGAAATTGATTTCAGGTAAAATTGAATGCTTATTTTGCTGATAAAAAACAAAAAAAGGGAAACTTGAATGAAGAAAATCTTACAAGAAACATAGAACCAAGAGTACAAGCAACCTTACATTTTTTGGGTTGATTTTGCAGGAGCGAGCCCACCACTCCTGACCCATCCCATTAATTGTCCCGCCCCCTTCAACAGTAAGGTGGTTCACCCCATGGAAGTAGAGCCATTTACGAGGATTTAGACCATTCCAGGCTTCAGGATCTTTAGGAGCAACAATAGTACCAGAGATCTACCAATAAACTAAAACCAGTGAGCCAAAGGAATGATAACACCATACTAATAAAGGTAGAGAAAGATTTACCACAAAGTTATTTTTTTTAATAATAATTTTGGATATTTTAACTCAATTTACACTTACAGTCAAAGTAACCCTCGATTTGCATGGTCCAGAAAGATCAACAGGATGTACTAAATAAGTATACCCTCCTGGTATCATGATCCTTGTCCATGCTCGGAAAGAACATGCTATCTTCCATGTATTTTCAAAAGCCTGAAAGCATCAAATTATGATGAGATCAGCAAGTAACTACCTGTACAACAAGCTTGACTGTGACAAGGGTTTTAGGGCTTCTCAAACTTCACAGACAAATGTTTTATAAAAAAAAAAAATTTGATCAATGAGATAAAAACTGCCCATCATGTAGGTATCAATGTGATCAATGTTATAAAAAAATTCATTTGTTCCATCCTACCGAAAAGGACAAAAAAAGGTACCAATTCTTTTCTTCAATGAACTGAAACTTCAGTACAGTTTCAAGAAATATAATGAAAGAAATTCCAAATTTGTTCATCTTATTTTGTAGGCAATTAAAAATGGGGTCCAGATAAATGAAGTAATTTTGCTGCTACAAATCTAAATAAATTATGGAAAGGACTTCAACTTTCCAAAGTCTTATTCTTAGTAGATTGCATTTACATCAATTCCCTTAAGCTTTACAATATGTGCCTGAATATCTAAGATTTGCATAATTCATCAACTAAACAGTTTTCCAGAAACAGATTCTAAAAATTCAAAGGCATACTCACATTATTAAACAAAAAATAATACGCGTTCACTAAACAATTACTCATTCCTTTAACTGGAATATGAAAGAAAAAAGAAAAGGCCTCAAGCAATGAACCACAACGGCAGGAGCCACAATCTAGTACCTCCGTGTCATCGCTGAGACCATCTCCTCTGGCACCAAAATCACCAACAAAGAGGACCCTTTTGTATCTGGATCGGGTTCTCCATGACCCATTATTCGGGAGCTGTAGGAAAGACTCAAATCCTTCTGTCTGTACAATACTTGAATACACAGAGATAAACATGAAGATCAAGACAACACTGCATTCTGAACATGAAAAAGATACCAGCTTTTTCATATTCTGTATAAGAGAATATGAAAAATCTGTTGAAGAAAGGGTTTTAGAAGAACCTAAGAAGATGAAGCTACCCAATGTCTGTGGTTGTGTTGCTTCTTACTAAAAATAGAGCTGCCGCCTGCAAGGGACATCGCCGAAACCGACAATCTTCAGCACCTTCCTCACTGACGCTTTCTACACAGGAAGAAAGTCGGGCAAAACCTACTTTAGCCCTTTATCTTAATAAATTTATGGATTTTAGCCCCTCACCTTATATTATAACATTTTTAGCCCTTTACCATGATAAGTTTGTAAGTTTTAACCTTTCATCTTATACTATAACATTTTTAGTCCTCATCTATATGAATTGAAGAAAATAACTCTTACTTAACATCTGGTTATAATGCTCTATTAGTTCTATTAGTTGACTATTAATTCTGTTAGTTGATTGTTAGTATCCATTAACATTTTGTTATAAAAAATATAAAATTTAAATTTAATTTTATTTATTAGTTTCATTAACAAAATGCTAATGAAATACTAACAATCAATTAACAGCGTAAATAGTTAGCTAACAAAATTAATAGAACGTTATAACTTGACTTTAAATAAGAGTTATTTTCTTCAGTTTTTATAGGTAAAGAGTTAAAGTGTTATAATATAAGATGAAGAGTTAAAACTTTCAAATTTATTAAGGTAAAAGGTTAAAAATGTCATACGATAAGATGAATGACTAAAACTTATAAATTTATTAAGATAAAGGGTTAAATGTAGATTTTAACCGAAAAAGTCTACCGTGTCGCGTTATAGCATCCTATGTGCTATCCGAAACCAATAATATCATGACAAGTCATAGTAAAAAAACTTGCGCCTCATATCTTGTTCGCTTTAATTTTTTTTTTTTATGCACATCTTATTAGCTTTAATGACAAGAGCCAAGAGGGCATCATTAAGACCGTACCTCATGTCTCGAATAAAGAAATAAAATAAAACACAGATTGGCATGATCAACGACGAATTAATTTTGAACATTTAAAATTATTTTGAAGTTATATTATTTTAATAAATTTTTATTAAAAAAGTTAAAATATTTTATTTTTAAAATATAAATTAAAATATTTTTATTTTTTATAATATTTTATTAAAATAATATAATTTTAAAATAATTTTTTCTTGAAAATAGTATTAAAAAATTAAACGTACTAAATGCATGTTAAAAATACCCAATAATATTCTTCAAAAGCCCAAACACCTTTTAATGTGAAGCCCAATAAAAAACCCAACCAATTGATCTACAAAAGCAGTTACAACTTACAAATACAAACTACCCATTTTCCACCAATAAAAGCCCACCTACAAAAGCAGGCCCATTACACTATTTAGATTGCGTTTTATGAATCTAAACTTCCTCGATTGCTCCCAAATTCGAATAGGTAACTGCCACGCTAGAATCTATCCACTTCAGGCCATTAGAGTAGAGTATCGTGTTAACTGTTCCTAACCATTCTCCATTACCAATTTGAGAACCTCAATAAGGTAGGTAGGGAGGCCAAGAAAACGTCATGCTTGGTCTGATCTTTATCGGGGGCAGCAATCACAATGGTTCCATCTGGACAGATAGTATGGCAAGGTAGTCACCTTCAGGATTTAAAGGTGTAATGAGGGATTTCAGCTTCTGTTTGGCTATTTTATAGAGAAAGCCTGTGACTTAGAGTTTGGACAAGTAGATTTATGAAGAAACTAGGATAGAGGTAGTTTGAAAGAGGAAGACGAGGAAGAATTATTTTGGTAGGTTTACGCATTTCATCGGAAGAACAAAATATAAATGAACTACGGATCAGCCAATCCTAGGCATTACTGCTTTGCATTTTTGAAACATATCCGATCACTAGCCTTTTTTTTTCTTTTCTTTTTTTTTTTGTGGATAAAGCTGCTAGCTTTAATTTAGGATTAAGAAAATGGGTTCAGACCAACAAAACATACCAATCAAATCCGTCCAACTATTGAAAAAGTAATCTATGTAATAGTTAGTGTTTGAGAGTGTTTGGTGTAGAGGTTCTACCTAAATTGTACTAAGCACATGGGTTTAGGATTAGATTCAAACCTCAAAACCATTGCTCAGGACTAACTTGGTGACACTAGCTAGACTTTGTAGTTTAAAGCATGGACTTAACTCCACTAAATCATTTGTTTCATTTGGTTTAGTAATTTTTTTTTTTAATTTTATCTTAAAAAGATTATATAAAGGTTCAAAAATTTAGTTTTAAAATCTAAAATTATGTTGATTTAGCAAGATAAATTGAAATTTTTTAATCTATGCCCTTAGGCATAGGTTGAGTTTTATTGATATTTATAATTAGTTTTGTATAAAATTTCATACCAGATTCAATTGAAATAAAATGTGAAATATAAAATTAAAATATAATATAATATGTATACTCAAAATCTATATAAATATCCTTTCATTATATTATTTCTTTTGATTTCTAACATGTTTTGCCATTAAAAAAACAAAAAAGTAAAAAAAAAAAAAAATTCAAATAGCCATGGGCTAGAGCAATTCCAAGCCAAGTCAGATTTCGGGCCTATGACAAACTGAAATGGCTCATTAGTTAGCTGGTGCGAACTGATAGTCTGATACCATTGTCTGGATTAGGTCAACAAGCCTGAGCCCAAGTAGTGCAGGGCTGGCCTATTCTGTATGAACCCTTAGTTTGGTGGAGTTTTTATGATGTTTTAAAAATTAACAACAATTACTTTTTAAATTGATCATCTGTTAAGTTAATTGTCAATTTTAAGTGACAAAAAAAAGTAAAATATTGTTTTAAAACATTAGTGATTATCTATTCCAGTGAAAATCCAATAGCCTAAATTTAAAAAATGCCATTTTCAACGATTGAAGAAAATTTTAATTTGCATATTGAAATTATCAGTTGTTATTCATCAGGGCGTGAAACTGAAGCATAATAGTTGCTTCCTTATCAACTAACAAACCTTGTGCCGTACAAAACCTTATCCCACGACTTACATCCGACAACAACGATGCCAACTAGAGTTGTACGAAGAAACTAGGGGAGGGAGATTATGGGTTTCAAAAGGGAATATATAGGGTTTTACGAAAGGATAGGAGCGTGGGGGGATAGGATGGCAAGATGAGATAGTATTAGGCTAGGAGGCTTAGAGAATGTATGGAAACCTTAGTAGAGGTGATGTGGCAAATTATTACCCTCGAAAGAGGAGGATGAGAAAAGGAGGTGGTTGTCAAACAAGACGAGAATGATGTGGTAGTTGAGATGGATGAGCATTATTTGGTCGGTCACCTACATATGAGGAAATTTTGAAATATGATGACAATGGAAGAGATACTAAAATAGGTTTGAAGGATGTTCTAAGGTATGAAGATTCTTGAAACAGGTGATAAGGTATATGTGTTTGTATTTGTGCAGCTATTTGATTGAGATTTTATACCAAAGTTTATATCTTTATTTATTTATTTATTTTTACTACAATACATGGAAATAAGAAAAAATTTCTAATTGAGTGTCTTGCCTACTCTAGGCACATTTCATTTCTCAATCTCTACTTCTTTTTATGGAGTACAAGCATAAAGCGTATCCTTAACAATACACAAAGCTATGAAATTTTAACCAAATAATCAACTAAAATATATAGTTTCATTTCAAATAAAGTAACTAAATCAAAGTATAGAAAGTTGTTTTCCTATTTTACCTGGCTAGCTATGCGTTTTTGATGAATTGGAATGAAAACTGCCACATTAAGCATCAAGCCAACATAACATTTCCATATATTAAAAAATTTCCATCAATTGGTATTGAATTTAATTATTCATGGCAAAGGTCCTATATATTTGTAGAATTCCCATTTAAATGATTATACTGTAATAGCTAGTTAGAGTTTTAGGTTTTAGGCACACATAACAAATTGAGAATGAGTCCGAGCACTGTGATTGTCGTGGCTCTAATGCTTATCTTTGCAGGGTATACAACAGCACAATTTTCCCGTATATGTTACCATAATTGCGTGAAGAATTGTCACGATCCAAACACTCGAGATGCATGTGTCCACGATTGTATTAGAAAATGTATTCCTCCCAATCCTTCGAATGCTAATGATGTTTATTATTGCAATGTCGGGTGTTCCCTTGACCAGTGTACCCAATTTGGCAAAGGTATCTCCGTCCTCATCCCCTCTATCCCGCCATTTTACTCAATTATTTTCGCATTCTACATTTTGTTTTTATCTAACCATATTAATCCAAACTACATACCATATGAATCTTCTCTTATGTTGTATTAATGGTGGTTTTTGATGTAACAGATGTGAAGAAAGTTGGGAGTTGTGTGGGCAATTGCTTTAGAAATTTCTGCGGCAAGCACTCTTAGTCTCTTTTACTTGGATTTGTTCTTTTGGATGATTGGTTGGAAAGAATAATGTGACTGTGATGGTATAAAAGAATTGAATAATGTTGTCTGTTATGAAATTAATTTTAATTAATAATAATAATAATAATAATAATAATTATTATTATTATTATTATAAATTTCATATAAATTAAAAAAATTAATCATTTAAATAATATGTTAAATTTTATAAAAAAACTAAAATAAAAATATTGTATAAAAATCATTTTTCTTTTCGCACTTGGACACCAACTGCGCTGAGGTGGCAATCTGTGCTCGGATTTTTACCGCCCAAACACTTACAGCTGTACTCTTTTTACTTAGATATATATTGATGAGTGGTTCAAGAGTATTAAATAACGATATACGTACTAATTAGCTCTAATAATTATTTCTTAGGTGGAATTTAATTGTTTTAATTTAATTTTTATATAAAATCTGACTAAATAATAGTATATAGTAAATAAATAATAATTAAAAAATTTTATTTTTATATGTAACATTTGTTGAATATTTTCTTTTAAATAAAAAATTTTTAAATTATCATTCATTTACTATATAAAATTATTATGTCAAACCTCATGAAAAGTCAAATTAAAACAATTAAATCTAATCAAAGGTAATATGTAATTAGAGAAAAGTAAAAATCAATAAGTCTCGGCACTTTAAATGCTAGAATTTCATGTAAAATTATTTAAATATCTTTAATTAATTTTTTTAATTCATGAAAGATATTTTGATTTTCATTATCATTTCTCACATTTTAATTGCAACAAAATCTTGGTTTTTCTTAATCTTAATTATATAATTAACTCATTAAATAACTCACATAAAAAAAAACTCTTTTCTTTTATGAAACTCCCATAAAAAAAATTAAATAACTTTTTTTAAACATAAATTTGAAAAAAAAAATT